TCCATATCTTCAACTCATATGAATACCTGGGTGGGAAAGTGCACCTGAAGACTTCACTGGCCACCCAAAGTCTGAGTTACGTATCAATTATGGGTATGGGCACATTTTTCAGTCTTTGTGTACAGTTCCCTACGGCAAAGTTTTTACCCACACCTAGTGGGATTGAAAGCTTGTCCCATGTCCTTTTATTCATGGAAATGCCCAGTTGGGAAAATGCACCGGAAGCTCACAACAACATACCAAATTTTTCATTTTTCAGCACAGGGGTGGTGGCAGGAATCGCTATCCTCCCGTTTCCCTACGGCAAAGTTCTTGACCACAGGTGGTTAGTTTGAAAGCTATTATCCATATCTTCAACTCATATGAATACCTGGGTGGGAAAGTGCACCTGAAGACTTCACTGGCCACCCAAAGTCTGAGTTACCTATCAATTATGAGTATGGGCACATTTTTCAGTCTTTGTGTACAGTTCCCTACGGCAAAGTTTTTACCCACACCTAGTGGGATTGAAAGCTTGTCCCAGGCCCTTTTATTCATGGAAATGCCCAGTTGGGAAAATGCACCGGAAGCTCACAACAACATACCAAATTTTTCATTTTTCAGCACAGGGGTGGTGGCAGGAATCGCTATCCTCCCGTTTCCCTACTGCAAAGTTCTTGACCACAGGTGTTTAGTTTGAAAACTATTATCCATATCTTCAACTCATATGAATACCTGGGTGGGAAAATGCACCTGAAGACTTCATTGGCCACCCAAAGTCTGAGTTACCTATCAATTATGGATATGGGCACATTTTTCAGTCTTTGTGTACAGTTCCCTACGGCAAAGTTTTTACCCACACCTAGTGGGATTGAAAGCTTGTCCCAGGTCCTTTTATTCATGGAAATGCCCGGGTGGGAAAGTGCACCGGAAACTCACAACAACATACCAAATTTTTCATTTTTCAGCACAGGGGTGTTGGCAGGAATCGCTATCCTCCCGTTTCCCTACGGCAAAGTTCTTGACCACAGGTGGTTAGTTTGAAAGCTATTATCCATATCTTCAACTCATATGAATACCTGGGTGGGAAAGTGCACCTGAAGACTTCACTGGCCACCCAAAGTCTGAGTTAGCTATCAATTATGGGTATGGGCACATTTTTCAGTCTTTGTGTACAGTTCCCTACGGCAAAGTTTTTACCCACACCTAGTGGGATTGAAAGCTTGTCCCAGACCCTTTTATTCATGGAAATGCCCGGGTGGGAAAGTGCACCGGAAGCTCACAACAACATACCAAATTTTTCATTTTTCAGCACAGGGGTGGTGGCAGGAATCGTTATCCTCCCGTTTCCCTACGGCAAAGTTCTTGACCACAGGTGGTTAGTTTGAAAGCTATTATCCATATCTTCAACTCATATGAATACCTGGGTGGGAAAGTGCACCTGAAGACTTCACTGACCACCCAAAGTCTGAGTTACCTATCAATTATGGGTATGGGCACATTTTTCAGTCTGTGTGTACAGTTCCCTACGGCAAAGTTTTTACCCACACCTAGTGGGATTGAAAGCTTGTCCCAGGCCCTTTTATTCATGGAAATGCCCGGGTGGGAAAGTGCACCGCAAGCTCACAACAACATACCAAATTTTTCATTTTTCAGCACAGGGGTGGTGGCAGGAATCGCTATCCTCCCGTTTCCCTACGGCAAAGTTCTTGACCACAGGTGGTTAGTTTGAAATCTTTTATCCATATCTTCAACTCATATGAATACCTGGGTGGGAAAGTGCACCTGAAGACTTCACTGGCCACCCAAAGTCTGAGTTACCTATCAATTATGGGTATGGGCACATTTTTCAGTTTTTGTGTACAGTTCCCTACGGCAAAGTTTTTACCCACACCTAGTGGGATTGAAAGCTTGTCCCAGGCCCTTTTATTCATGGAAATGCCCGGGTGGGAAAGTGACCCCCGTCCGGCCCTTTTACCCAGTATGGTAAAAATAATAACCATTGTCCTAACTTCAAATTATATGACAGTAATTCAATGGCAAAATATACATTATCATTACTTCTCCTGGAAAAAAATCAGCATTTATAACAGTACCTATATGTGTTGACTGGTTCCCGGAAATTTGGAAGTACAAAAACAGGTACTGGGCAAAATCTGAGCAACAGGGCAAATATTCCCTGCTTTATAATTTCTTTTTGTTATCATTCAAAAGAGACTTTCAACAAGGGTCCTATAGTGATCCCAAGTGATTAAACTTTCATTTATACCAAAATAAACCAAATATTTCACTTATTGACAACGTTTTGGCTATATGCGTAGGAACTATTTTGTTTGAAAGATGTACTACTTTCTTGTATGTTCTTTTTGACCGGGTCGATATAGTAATTCTTTACCTAAAGGGATTTTAAGGAAATACACGATATTTGAGAATGCCGAGAGTATAGAAAACCGTTATATGATTTTTCTACCGCATATAGCGTCTTGTTCAGTTTAACTTTTTATTTTTCTCACCGTAAATTGACATCTGCACTAATGTACTAAGATTGTTTTATTCTGTTCTACAATACTTAATACACCTCTGAATCTTGAGACTTGGTTTAGCCTTTATGTACTAAGATTGCCTTTTATTAATTCATCTATACTATATGTAGTTATTGTTACACGTTAAAAATCTTAGTTTAAAGTATCGCAAACAAATAACATTCCAGATACTTTTGGTTTTGTTAACTTGTTTTGTTTTTTTTTTCATTCATTTTTTGCAAGGAACGAAGATCTCGATTTTATATCAATGTATAATGCCATGTAATATAAAATCTTCAAATACTGAATTACTGATTTAGAGCATAAGCCTTGAGCAAGCACGCTACTCACGTTAACTGTTAGAAAGATTGAAATCCAAAGTAAAACTTAAACAAAATTAATTACTTTTTCCTTTCTGAAAAGGATATGTATTTATTATTCCGTCCCCTATTTATTGTAAATGTAGACATACGTGGTCCATTAAACATTTAAAAGCGATATATTACGTATTTCGTATTAGTAGAACGTTGTAGCATAATGTCAATTTGTGATTTTCAGACATATCTCTGAATGATTCTCTAACGTGTTGATGCTCATTGTTAAGTTTAGTGGTCGATAGAATTGGTCGCTAGCTTGATTGGTCGCTGGAATTGGTCGCTAGCTTGAGTCTGGTGAACTGATGCAGGATAAAAACAAAACCAAAATTATTGACCATGAAACAGCTGGCATTGTGGAAAGTTTTGGAGATGGAGTGCTCCGACCAACTTCTATAAATTTAAATATTAAAATCCCCTAGCTAAATCAGTATTTATTTGATATAGTAAGTTTTTCGTCATGCTTGTATCAGGGATAAATACAAAGAAAAAGATACTCCTTTTCATTGCATATATTTCATAAGGTACTCGTTGTACAGAAAGGGTACTGGTAAAGGGTGCAACTGGACATTCAAAGATCTGCTATATAAATCAAATTCATTCAAGGATTAAAAAAAAAGATATATAACTAAGTTAATCCACTGACGAAGTTCCTGTAATCCAAAAGGTAAAACAAACGAGGTTAAACCCACATTTTAGTGAGTGCTCTTGTGGATCCTTGTGAACTTGAGAATAAGAATACAATGGACACTAGAAAGACTGCTTCATATCTTGATCGTTTCATCAAAATTGACACAGATGGACGACTTCAAACTAAAATCTATGAAAATCATGATGATTTCAACTTTCTATAGCTAATTGTCAACTTCCCATTTCTCAGTAGAAATATGCTATCTGACCCCTCGTTTGGCGTTTTGATTATCTCAATTAGTATTTTACGCTCGAACATGCTTACAATATACAGAATCCATCAGCAGGATATGCTCCTTCATAAAAATCCTGCTTCAAAAGATTCATAAGACAGAACGACTGAAATCGACACCGCATAAGTTTTAAGATCACCATATGATGAATTGGTTGATCAATACGATACGTATGTATCTCAACTCACTAGCAACATGTTTTCGTAGTCTTAGACCTTTAAAGATGAGAATAGTCGTCTTATCAGTAATTTAACCGATTGTTACCTATTATAGATCGTAACATTTTTACTGATTAAGGATTTGCACAGCGGGCGATGCATACACGGTAGGAGATGCTTAACAAGTCGACGCACCCGGTCTCTCTCCTTTTGGGGTTCATGCGATACTCTCAGTTTTGTTTGATACCTTGAGTTGTTTTCTTAATATATTTAAATCTTCTTATATCTATTATATGAGATTTGAACATTGATAAACTACTGTTGCCTTAATTTAAACTAGTTTGTTTACGTCTCAACTTTCTCTCGATCATTAAATATTTTGTTTAATAAAATCCGTTTACAAATTTTGTTTGCATTTACTGAAAGCAACCTTACAATACTAAAATGAAACCATGTCGTCTTGCATGTACATCGATGTCGATTTCATAAAGCAAAGTAATAAACGCTACAGAAGACACGACCTTGTGCAATATCAAGGTGTTCTTCAGAGAAGCTACTAAAAACCATTGTAAATATCTTTTATGTCAAGGACAACAACAACAAAAAACGCTATTCGATGATATGTGAAGGTATAACACTGGGTCAAACCCAAAACGTGTCCTAAATACAGCCGCAGAAGACACTAAACTCAATTTTGCCTAGTGATGGAAAGACAAGCAATTGGCAACAAAATAAAACAGAATAAATATAAAGTTTGAGTGACATTTGCCTCACTAAAATAGGTATTGAATTCAGGGAAACTAAAATGACGTAAACACAAGTACATTATCGAAATTGTGTGTCGGTACCTGTCATAAGTGAATGCGGTGATTTCAATTAGATTGAAGTCTTTCAATGAATTGATTTTAGAAAATTAATGTTTAAAAAGGTTTAGATGTATAAACAGAATACAAATTAAAATGAACAGTGACTTCATAATAATCAAATTAACAAAAATAGTAGAATGTAACATATATATAAGTTGGACACAAATATATTTTAAAATAAACATACATTAGCTTTGTGGAATATCCTTCTGCACACGACACTTACATGATGGTTTTAAAACCCAGCTGATCACCGATTCCATTCACTTGTGAAAAAACAGACATGTCTGAAACAAGAGGAAAGGTAAGTCAACTGCAAATTCTTTTCAATAGATATTCTTAAAATAAATTAAATAATTTTGTTAGATAGAGAAAAAAATTAATTTGATGTACAGTTTAATAGAACTTATAAACTCATCACAAAATTAGTTTTATTAATGCTTGTTATATCTTCATGTTTTTGTACAATACCTACAAAAATAGCATGACATATGGAAACAGAGCATTACTTGATATTGGAAAAAATTAAAATGGTTCACAAATTATATATTTTATTGTAATTCTATTGCATTTGAAACCAAGGTTTGAATGTTTTTTTAATCGTTAGCGGTAATATCGTTAAATTAGATTATAAAAAGTAGTTGCACAAAGAAGTTTATCAACTCTTTTTTCCGTCTACTGGTTTATTCAAATAGTGGAAGTAAAATCAACCTTTTCTTTAGAGACAGTAAATAGTTTTCAAATGCATCTTCATTTGTAATATTTTATATCTCGTCGCGTTTATCGCGCTAACAATCAAATAAAAAGAGTAAATTATAATTTTCGGTACAGATCATTCAGTGCAAGGCTGCTGTTTGCTGGGAGCCAAGACAACCTCTCTCTATTGAAACAGTAGAAGTAGAACCACCAAGAGGAGGAGAAGTTCGTGTGAGGGTAGGTTACTTTAAACATTTTAACAATGTATAGACTTTGTATTATATAATGCATTAGACTAAAGAAATATATCTCAAGCTTTGAATGAAACATATCTTCCGTTAGTTGACACACCGGCTAATTGATAAAAGTTGGAATAATACTTGTCTTGTACATGTGCAATTATTGCGTCTGATTGTCTGGTAATTTTGGGAATGGATATCATTTGGATTTTAACACCGGTATCAGTCTAGTCTTTCCTTTGTCATAATATTTTGTTTTCAATCTAAAAATTTCACTCGGTCAAGTTGCAAGGTTAGAAAATTTACATGAACAATGGTTTACAAAGTTGTTGATGTCTTAGGCTTAGATTAGAGTCAATTACCTATCCGCTAATGCATGATGCCTCATCGTTTGATATAATATATTAACATGCGTCGGATGTCACATGTGGAGCAATAGCTGCTAACCCTTCCGGAGCACATGTGATCAGTCTTTAGTTTTATATATTGTGTTAAATAGATTTGTTTATTTTTGGTCGTTCAAATCCTGTAAATTAAGTTATAAAGCGACAATTAAAGGTAATAAACAAAAAACCAAAAATATCTATGGTATCATCTTCATGTATTTGTTTTTTATTGGATTAAGCGTGCTTCTTCTTTACTTTTTTTGTGAACTAATAAAAAAAAAAAAGTTTTCATCCACGATTCACATTTTTGTAGAATGGTACTGTTTATGTGTATGTAATAGATCTTTTAATTGAGTATAAGTGCAGAGTGAGAACAAATAAAAAGATTTGATGCTGTTGCAAGTTTAATAATAGTGATTGGAGATTTGTAGCAGATATTTAGATTTTTGAGAATCCGCATGATTTACACACAGGGGTTTGATACAATTTGCCGGGTTTACTATCCATACGAACCGTGTTTTTTCGGGTTCGTATTGATAGTCAACCCGGCAAATTATAACAAACCTCTGTGTTTATACCTTATGAAAATATAGAAAAGTTGAAAAAAGCGTTATTTAAATGGATTTGATGCGTGTTTTTTTGTCATGTTGATGACGCTTTTGTATCGAACATACTTGAAGTAGAACGGCAACCGTTAGATCGTAAGATAGCGTAAGATTAAATTACTCTGACTTTTGGTTCTTGGCAAGTCATTATGCCGTTGCCAATGCTACTAAAGGTACCTAGTTTGTTTCATGTGTAAGTCCAACAGTTTTCCATGATCTGGGTTTTGCCAATCAACTAAATTTAATTCATTTACACAAAACCTACACACCGTAATTAGTTCTATTTAGGTTTAGTTCTAAAAAGTAAAACATTGTGTTGTCTGAAAATTTTCTTAATTATCACGGGATCTTCCATATGCATGCTTTTGGAATGAAAGCATCAATGAGAAATGACTTAATTCTAACTTGAAAATTGTCCAATCCGTATGAAACTAAAAGGTATTCTTCAAATACCATGGTTCTGTCGTCTGTTGTATATATTATAAATTTAATAGCTTGTTCTCTGTTCATTGTTATTGAACGTTCTTCTATGTCTCTTTTTCTACAACAATAATCGACATATCAATGGGAGCATACCTAGTATGACCTTGTCGCATGTAAATGTGTAAATGCCAGGAACTTATTTTGTGATTGTCTTTTTTATTCAATCTTAGTGATTTTGTCCTTTTAAGAGTTTCGTGTTGATGATAAACTGTTGGCATTCTTTTTTAAATATGTTTACATCAATGTAGAAAATTGTACACATCTAGATGTTTTGTATGTTGCTTTGTCATTATTTCATCCCCACATGCCCCTTTGTTCATATGTTTTGAGATCAATAATTTTATTCAGCACCTGTTGGAAAAAAATCTCGCGGTGAACAGTACAAGCTAACAACCAAATTCTCTTTTTCTTTATGATAGATTTCCTGTCATGGTAGTTATCTTCGTTCTTGATGATAGCTAATTCAAAATAAGCCTTGTCAGCTTTTTTTTGAAATTTGGTTTGCAAAAATGAATTAGGTCAGGCTTTTTTTCAATTTCAAGAGAACTTACAATATTTATTATAATTGTAATTACAGAAACTCATTATAAAAAGCAAATATGCATACAAAATCTTTGTACATCGAAATGGTGTTATATATCATTTTGAATTAGGTAAAGCAAACAAACATTTCGATAAGGAAGGTGTACTTCATCATTTCCAATTACCAAAATGTATAATACGCGATGCCATAGTTCAGTAAGATGTTGTTAAAGTTTAAAATTAAGCATTTTTTAATAAGAAACTTCATTCAGATCTGATTTAGAGACATAATAGAAACATTATATTAAGGAGTTAGTTCAGGGACAAACATTCAATATACCTATCGACTTAAGTGTAGGTTAAGTAAATACAATATTTCTCAATGTGATTATTTTTTTAATTTTATCAATGCAGGTCTTCAAACAAAATGATGTAATTCAAGCAGATGATTCTTGTCAAAATAATTTTGATGCATTATGATTAACATAGGGTAGGGGTTTAAAATTACGAAACATTACAAAGGTAAAGGAGAGCATACAATATCTCAAGAATATGGCAAATATTTAGAGCAAAAACAAGACTGCATTCGGTTGTATTAAAATCTGTACAAAGTAATTGCACAAACGAATGCAAATCAAATCTATCCAGAATTTATTGATTCAATTAAGTACTTATAGAAAGGATCAACTGTAGTGATATATGGTATCGTTTGGTAAAACTTCGATCAAAAGTAATAAACATAATATGGTAAAGTAGTAAACAAAAAGCAGCATCCGAATTCATTAAAACCTTTTTTCAAATCTTTGTCGGTTGCGATCATGATTGTTATGGAATATTTTTGTACAGAAGGAATACCACATAAAAAATTTAATGTTTAATTTGTTTCAGCCACAATCCTGTCCTCGTTGTTTTTCTTTAACGATTTAATTATCTTCCATTGCGACTAATCATCGGAGTTTTATTTGTCATGAAGGGAGCCGTATTGGCACAGGCAATGTTTATTACTAATTAAAACCACCCTATCATCAGATTAAGTGAATGAAGCGTCGAAAATAACATCATATATCATAAAAAGAATTTTTCGAATCGAATTTTCATACAGATATATTTTATTCTTTTAACTATGTTTCATATTTTGTAATTAACATTAAAGACAAAATGACGATATAAAAACGAGATGTTGGTTGTTTGGTCAATGAAACAACAGTTCATTAAAGACCAAGTGACAAAGATATGACACTTCATTTCGAGAGATACTAAAAACCCAACGTTATTATTCTCCTCTTAATCTACTTTTTCTAGAAATTGGGGTGTTTCCATAGTAAAACATGGGAAAACAAAAGATTGAAAAATATTTACTTATTAGTAGTAAGCTTTATATGCTATTTAAGATTGCATTCACTGGAATCTGTCACAGCGATGCTCATATATTGAACGGGTGTATAGAAGCTAAGTTACCTGTCATCCTTGGTCACGAAGCTGCGGGCGTTGTGGAAAGTGTTGGGGAAGGCGTGACTAATTTTCAAGAAGGTTGGTAAAGTAAAAAAAATTAATCCCACGGAAGGAATCATCATGATATCAAATCAAGCATTTTTGCGCTATATATCTTCTTTTCCATTTTACACATTATTGTTTACCAATTGTAATTAAATTATATGCGTGAACAGTTTTTACTTACAAAATACTCTATATTTGCGCGTGTCTTGTTCTATCATTTCACTCTTACAAATATCACAACATGCATAACGTATCTACAAAAAAATGTACTTATTATAATAGTATTCTGGAAATACGTTTCCCGTTATGTTAAAAGTAAAGAGATTTGAGCATTTTTCTGTTACTTTCAGCTGTATATTTTTGATTTGCCCTTTAATGTTTTAAATTGCTAAGATCAACTTAAAATATGTAAACAGTAGAGGGGTATGTATGATATTACAGATCCAATAGTTGGCCCCTGAATACAAATATTGTAACATACTTCTGTTTGCTGTTTTTTGCATAAAAATCAAAACAGTTTAAAAAATAAATGCAAAATAGACGAAATTCAAATACGTGATTACTGATATGTGACAAACGACTATTATAAGGGTCTAATAAAGATATGAATGCTGATATTCGATGCATCTGTAATACTGAGAAAATTGCGTACATTTATTAATTCTATTTTCGAAGAAAGGACAAAAATGAGAGATTAATTATTTCAATTTCAGGAAAATTTACATACAGATATATGTATCAGATATCAGAATGCGTGTTCTTATTATTACGATAATCACCAAGTTGCATTATTTCATTTAATAAAATCCTCGCAATAATTATTGAATTTACAGTATTTTTTTATTTCCGAATTTAAGGGATTATTATAAAAGGTGTATTATCATACCTTATCTTTTCTATTAAGATCAAAGGTACATATCTTACAGCACCAGATTGGACGTACAAAATCAACAGTTTACATAAGTTCATTTTTAAATAGGTTTAATATTTGCCTGATTACATAAGTAAGCGCCCGTGCAGTTAAGAGTCACCTGCTGACAGCAGTATTCGAATTTTCATCTAAGTTATTAACCTGATAATTTGTCAGCTTCATAACATTCTATTTTTACTTGCAAGATCAACCTTGATCCTAGTTTCAATGACTGTGTGTTCATGTTGTTGTAAATAGGTTAATGCATGTCTGCTGTAGTTTAGAATTTCGGTAAAATCAAGCTAATTTTAGATAAGAATACGTAATGATGTTTTCTTTAAACTTAAAACGTGAATTGTGAACAGTAAAGGTTTTTGAAGAAAATGAATAGCTATCTGTTTTTATCTTAAAGAGCTAAAACAGCCGTTGACATGGGCCATCGTCTATCAATCTGAATATCAGATTGCTAAAAGCGGAATACAAACAAAAAAATACATTTGCCGCTGATTTCACGGAAAGCAGTTGGAAAGTCTACCTCTGTTTTTAGTAAAGGTTAAAACTGTATTATATTAGTCCATGCATGATGACTAAGGGCTGAGTTGACTTACTTTTTCAGGTGACCATGTCATTGCGATGTTCCTCCCAGAATGCAACCAGTGTAGGTGCTGTACTAGTGGGAAAACTGGTACTTGTGAAGTATTTATGGAGTAAGATATCACAATTATTTGTATGCCGAGTAAACAAAATCGTGAACTTATATTACTATGCAATAAATCAATACACAAGACGCGGATTTGCCTTTTAAAGCCATAACTAAAATTGAGAACGGAAATGGGGAACGTGTCTCAAAGAGACAACAACCCGACCAAAGAGAAGAAAACAGCCGAAGGCCACCAATGGGTCTTCAACACAGCGAGAAAATCCTGCATCCGGAGGCGGTCTTCAGCTTGCCCCTAAATAAAAATGTGTACTAGTTCAGTGAAAATGGACGTCATACTAAACTTCAAAATATATAAATGAACTAAAATTCGTAAAACATACAAGACTAACTAAAGGCCAGAGGCTCCTGACTTTGGACAGGCGCAAAAATGCGGCGGGGTTAAACATGTTTTGTGAGATCTCAACCCTCCCCCTATACCTCTAGCCAATGTAGAATAAACAAACACACAGCAATACGCACAGTAAAACTCAGTTCAAATGATGTCCGAGTCCGATGTCAGAATAGGTAACAAAAGAAAATAAGCAAAACGACAATGATACATAAATTAACAAAGGACTACTAGCAGTTACTGACATGCCAGCTCCAGACTTCAATTAAACTGATTGAAAGATTATATCTTCGTCATATGAAAATCAAGCGCAATCCCTCCCGTTAGGGATTTAGTATCATACCATCATAAAATATATGAGAAGTCTGCATTTTAACAGGAAAAACTCTGTTAAAAATACTCTTACGTTAGAACATGAAACATTTTAATTAGTAGTTTAATTATACAAAAAGAGTGTTTATTTTGAACTATTTTATGAAATTCAATAAAGAAACAAACAAATACTAATTCTATTTATCTGGTTGTTCTTTAACTTTTTTTTTTGAAAAAGAAAACATTTAATGTCTTATAAGAGAAATGTGGATAATTATACGCCTGGTATCTTAAATGAATTTATTAACCATTGTTAATTGGTATCATCAGCTCAGTCGTCAGCACCCCCGTGTTGACATAAATTATCATTGATACAGTCAATTTCGGTTCATACAATATTAATTTTTTCAAAAACATTTTATACCCCGATACATGAATAGCCTTAGCATTTAAAGATAAGGCACACTAATGTATTTTTGGGGTTTTCAATGTTCTTCAACTTCTTACTTTATTTGGAATTGCAACTGTTTTGATATGAACGCTTTTTGATGAGTCTTATTGAGACGAAACGCAAATCTGATGTACCATTTATTGGCTTCGTATCTTCGATGATTTTTTTCACACTTTTGCTAAAAGGTCTGCTGCAGTAAACTAAATAGTTCAAACCATACAGTAAAACCAGAACAGCCAAATGCGTTTACTCAAGCGGGTCATTCCATATTTATTGATTACCATACATTTTTTAGGGGAATATACGGGACACATCAATATATCGCATAAGAACTAGTAAAAGCTTCCAAAATTATATCACTCGACAGTTCATCATAAAATATAGAATAACTATTACAAGTAAGGATACCCCCACAACCAACAAAACCTCTATATGAACACTTGATAAAAGAAAATAAGTTCGAATCGATATAGCCGATTAAAACAAATGGAAAATAAGATATACCAAAAGTACAACTGCAAACCTTATTCTAAAATGGAACAGGCAAAAGCAAGGCTTAAAAAGGACAACAATCGCCCACAAACCGTCCATCGAACACACAAGATTGAGCAACATGACAAAGCTGTTGTAAACTACAATAAGGTTATAATGCCACATATAAAGTATGATTGATTGTTGCTTGCTTAACATCCAGTAGCAAATATTGCATGTACCTTCAGAACGATAAAAAAGCATGGGTAATCAGTAAAACCATGAAGATTATCTGATACACAAACACTCAATACTTAGTAACTCAAATAAAAAGACTGGTATCGATAAATAAAAAGAAACGTTTGTTATAATACGAACTTGATATTATGGACATCGTACAAACGGTCTATTTCTAGATAAAAAATAGAATTTTTGGACTTTATAATCAAGAAGTATGATTAAAGCGCGTGAAGACAATGAAAGGAAGAAATTGAATATATGAATTTATAATTGAGTATTTTTAAGATTGTATTGGGATTGACATTTTCATCTTTCAATACATAAGAAGGTTGTGTGTCTGTGAGTGTCATTTTCAATGATGTGAAGCTATATAAAAAAGACATTTTGTGTTTTAGCAAGAACTATGCCAATGGTTTATTAATGGACGGGACATCTAGATTCAGCATCAGAGGGAAAACTGTTTACCATTTTTTCGATACCAGTACCTTCAGTCAGTATACTGTGATACCAGCTATCTCGCTCGTAAAGGTAAGGTTTGCTTTACTTGTTTGTATAAAAAGATACAGTATAAGAGAAAACATTAACCACAATTAAAAAATGACAAAAATCATATGGCAAAGAACAAACATGGATTAAAAAATGCACACAACTTCAATGTCTAAGTGTACCACCTAATTTTGGGAGAATTCATTCAAACTATCTTTGTTTATATTCAGTCACTTGACGAAAGATTGTTACAGCCTTTGACTTATTACAAGCACTTTCGAATGAATGGGGTCGGTTGAACCAGGTTTTGGCACACCCGTGACAACCTTTTCCAGTTTTAATTCATGTGTTTCTTGGAGATAAGATCCTCTGACAGACTGTGTATTGACTGTGTAATTATAACATGTACATCCCATGCACGCAAACAGATAACCCTCAACTACAGATATCGTAAGGGCTCCTGTCCAGAAATACTTCGACACAGGCATTTAGTTCTTATCTTTACCAGACCAGACAGCACATGTCTGTGTATTTATGCATCCCACACACTGTTAAGCCCTGGCCTGGCAACAGTCGTTTTTCGGAAACACTACTGCATCAAAATGCAAACCAATTACAAAAAGATAGCTTATATAAAAATAAGGAGATGTGGTATGATTGCCAATGAGACAACTATCCTCCCAAGATCAAATGAAGTGGATCTAAGCAATTATAAGCAACCATACGACCTTCAACAAGTGTGTTTGGCTATTAACGAAGATTCATAGAAATATACATTTTGTACAAACAAATTTACTTTGTTTTATTTTGCAGGTCAACCCGGTTGCACCACTGGAGAAAATATGTTTACTTGGTTGTGGCATACCTACTGGATATGGTACTGCCGTTAATACAGCTCCGGTAACATACTATTGTTTTATTAGATGCATTTAAATTTATGAGATTTTATAAATTTTGAATAAAGCTAGTATCAACACAGCATCAATATGCAAAAGTATAATAAAAATCAACTGCATGATTTACGCATTTGGTTTATAGAAGAATATGGAAAAGGATGTTGGTTTAATTTTGTTTCTTTTTTATAAGTTCATTTTCAACCGATATATAATACTTTATGAAAACTTACGTAGACCTACGTACAATGTAAGTGAAAATTGTTAAACTTGGTTCAAATAGTCAATTTAGTATTGCAGTTTTGATATGTTGTGCACTTTTGACCGCCGATTAGGCTTGAACATAAAGTGCAAGCATTGAAACTTCAGCCACTACAGTATGAATATATTGTTTTCATAGTGTGATCATTAAAGCATTGAAGTAATATTCCATGTTTAAATGATCTGTAATAGTTCTTTTGTTCACAATAAGCTTTAATTTGAATATCCTACATAAAAGTTTGATTAAAATGCTGACATAAAATTTCAAGTTCTAACATATCCAATTTGAACTAATTGTATTGCATTATAAAAATCATATGGATTATCGTTATAGAGTTTTTTGTTTTAAGTCCATGCAAGTCAAAATGTTTTAATTGTTGGCATTAAATATATTCCAAGCTAGAAATGAATAAATATGTTGTCTATTTGCAATAGGTGAAACAAGGATCCGTCTGTGCAGTGTGGGGACTGGGGTGTATTGGATTGGCATGTGTTATGGGGTGTAAGGCTGCAGGAGCCGCCCGTGTCATCGGAGTAGATATCAATGCAGACAAGTTCGAATTATGTATGTTGTTTTCAAATTATAAGAACATACGTAAATCGGAAATTGGATTTATCATGACATCAGAAAAATAACACTGTAAACAAAAATTAAATACTAGGTGTTGTTTCTAATTGTAACTTTGTAAATGTAAATAAAAAAAATGTTATTGCATACTTCGGAGTAATGAAAAACACTTAGCAATGTAACATTGTAAATGTAAATAAAAAACAACATGTTATTGTATACTTCGGATAAATGGAAAAACACTTAACAAACTCATTATATAGTTGATATCACTATAACAACGCATTCAAATATGTGTAAAATTTAAGTGTATACAAATCCAACTATAAGTTTAATAAATGTGGGCTAATTTGCAAAGGGATTGAAAAAGATATTTCTCATCTATTGCAAGCCTCCTTGACGTAGCGAAGTTGTGTGCAAATTATTACTTTCAGACTCGATTAATTTCATCAAAAATGAATTGTTATGTCACATAACAGTTAGTTATTTATTATTTAGAAGAATCGACTCATATTTATCTGTTTTCCGTAGCTCTGTGTTTTCCTGTTTCAAATCTGGGTTTTCCATATTCAAACGGTCGTCTCCTATTCAGACATCCACTTGATCATAGGCACTTTGCAAGGGAAAATTCATATTAGAGCTATTCTTTAGACCTATTTTCCTAATTCTTGTAGTTTAAAGGTTTGGTTGGCTTGCTTGCTTTGTTTGTATAATGTTTATTCAAGCATTGTAATTAAGATTAACATCTGCAATCAATAGATAGGTTGTCTTCAGCTTGCATACTTAAATATTATTGGGTGCTAAGTATAATGCAGAGTATAATGTATACAAGCTGAAGCCCCGCCTATCTATTGATTGTAGATGTCAATCTTAATTACAATGATTGAGCAAACATTTATACAAACAAAGCAAGCAAGCCAACCAAACCTTTAAACTACAAGAATTTGGAAAATAGGTCTAAAGAATGTGACGGGATTTCATGTATTTGTGAGCGCTAAACCCGTACACTAACATGAATCACTTGCACAGCAGAACAGCATCTAAGCTGATTGTTGAAAGGGACTTGACTTACCAGATCGGTACTTAGCAGAGACAAAACGAAGAAAATGGACGAAAGAAACACGCATGTAGTACCGATTTAAGAGCACTCACAGTTACTGTAAGCTAATGCAACGTCCAATTTCGACTAATGAATAACCCGTGTTTTCCAGACTAGAATATCAATCAGTAAACCCCCAATTAAACTTTATTGATGATCTGTCTAACATAAAAGGGAATGATTCTTTACAGATAAAAAAAGGTATGCATTATGGATATTTGCGAAAATCGAATTTACAATTAGATCAAATAAATATAATTGCTATTAGTTTGACCATCAAATTTATTTCCAGTTCTAATCACACATGCTTATTTTACAATAAAGGTTTAGTTCAACTTTTTGATTTATTTCGTAGCTAAAAAGTTTGGAGTGACAGAAGCAGTCAATCCTTTGGACTATGATAAACCAATCAACGAGGTACTTAAAGAGAAAACTAATGGAGGACTAGACTTTGCCTTTGAATGTGTCGGGACCACTAAAACAATGGTTAGTTGTGTACTGAGAATTTCAAGTGATGGTGTTGTCGCCTTGTGGAATAACAAAAGAAGACGAATTAAACATTTTGTTTTAAATTCCTATCTTGCCCTTTTAAAGCCAACTAAAATTTCAATATTCCATCTAAGTGGTAGCATGCTCGCCCCGGGTGCAGGAGGTTGAAATCAAAGTCTTGAAAATTGGTATATTTACTACTTTTCCGCTAAGCGCTACATTTAGGAGTTAGTTCAAAGACTGCATGGCCGACTCGGCATTAGAATAATGTGACATTGGTGGCAGGTCTCCTTGTGGACTGTTACCTTGTGAACTAGCACTTTAGTACGTGCTTTTAGTATAAAGCATGTTTATATCATACTAACATATTTAATTAATTTGCCATTCTCTCATTATCACCACCAGGGTCGGATATTGGGGATAGAGGGTTCTGACCTCCTTATGGATCACACCTGACCATCATCGTGATCACCATCACATCACATGCATTTGGTCACTGGTTTATCATTGGCTAGTTATTGAAGATTTAGAAATAATTCTTAGAAATATTCCTAAAAATGAACAAAATATTGTTGTTTTAGGAGCAAGCATTTATGTCATTGCACAAAGGTTGGGGTAAACTGTGTGTCGTCGGATTAGCCCCCGATGGAGATATCATTAAAGTACCACCTTTTGAACTGTTATACGGAAGGAGCATTACTGGAGCACTGTATGGAGGTAACTTTTGATTTATGTTGACCACATTTTAACAACATAAACAGTTAGGATATTTATTCATTACTACTAGATGGTACCCGCGCAAGCGCGGATGTGAAGGACATGTATCGCGAGCACATCCTGTATAATCAGAACAACACCTTTTAGCTTGAGCCAAGTGTTTTCGTGCAAACTCGGCAAATTGGTTCCTTTAGTATAATAGAATCTTTGAAACACCACTACAAAAAACATGTATTATCCACATGCATAAAAGTGCATTTAAACAAGAGTTGATAAAGAAATACACATTGTTATTGTTGATATTTATCGGACAGCATTTGTTAACTGCCCGATATTTTAACTATTTTTCTTTTTTTGAAAAGTTTTCAATATTAAAAGTTTGAAAATATGTATGTTTTAATAGATCACAGACGTGCCAAGCAAGTCCCTGAGCTCGTAAACAAATACATGAGAGGGGAAATATTGATTGACGAGTTTATTACCCACACTATGCCTCTGGATAGGATAAATGAAGCTTTTGATCTCCAGAGAGACGGAAAGAGGTAACTATAGAACTGTAACGGATAATCAAAACTCCAATTGAAAGTACAAACATTTCTATCCTTTGTTTGTTTGCATATACAACATTGTAACGACAGTCGTAAAGCATCAATTTATGTTTTCAAAAACGACATAAGGAAACCATATAATTTCTAAAGTGTTCTAGAAAAGATAAGGAAGATTAATCGGCCGTGAAGATGGCCATGTATTATATTATTAATTTCACTATTAGACGGGAGTTTTGTTTTTGCGCCAATTTAAAAAAAAAAACCTAAATTTTCCATTTGCTCAAAAACAATGCTTTGCACTTTGCATCATATTTGCGGTAGAGGTCAATTTAAACGCAGTGTAATATTTTACGTAAGGTTATTATATTACCTATCTTGCTCGAAGCCCCAATTATAACTGTCAAAAATTGATGAACAGGTTGCAGATGACAGATTGAAGAGGTTTAACCTTTACAAACCATATCAATAAGTTATATGAAGCTTATGTTTCACAGGTGTTTACTTTTTAATAAAAAAATTTACTCTCATGAAAAAAATATTACCGCAAAAGAATTTGAGTTTCAAAAAAATGAGAAAAAAGGTAAACCCCACAAATAACAACCCAAAACGCAAGCAAGAAAACAAAACTTTCTAAAGAAGTATGTGAAACGCTGTTACAATTTGTTTACTTTGTTTTACTCATATTATCCACTGCACATTATCCATCATTATAACATTTCACTTTTTTGTATTTTCAGTCTCAGATCCGTTGTAACAATGTAGAAACAGTTTACACAACGTCGCTGTGACTTCATAGTCCACTGGATATACTAGTAGACGATTTCATATATTTGTGTTGAGTTAGAACTAGATAAACAACTTACAGTGCAGCTCAAATTTTCTTGATCGAAACCTTCTCTTCACATACCATTTTTGGATTCATCCCAAATTGTTGCATTTTAGTAGCATTGAGAAACTATTTGGTTTTTTTCACTCGATATACTGTTAACATAAAATCATGGTTATCGAGATTACCAAAGTTAAGAGTTATCAACTTAGTTCAAGAACCGAAAATAAACTCATATAATTATGTAGCATTGTAAGCTTTATGTAAATCTTATATTCGTATATACATGCTGTTGTTTTTATAAAGTTAGATGCTGATAATAAATAACCGCAAAATGCGAACTCGATTTATTAAAAAAACTATAAACAGTTTTACACGAATGAACCAAAAATCAGCCCAACGCAAACTAGATCTGTACCTCACAATGTAAACAGTTAAAAAACATTAGCCCAACATAACAAAAAAAAATCAGAACAAAGAAATACGGATTGACAGGAATAGGCAACACTATATGTCCAAACCATTCAATGATGTAGCTTCCATAGAGGCAGTGAGGCAAATAACTCACTAAGACAAAGAAATAAAATGAAGAAAAAAAAAAGATAACATGTACAATTTTTATTCCGTTGTGTGAGATATCGATGAAGATGGTTCCAACATTTGACTTATCTTCCCTGTACACAAGTTTTCCTCAATCTTAACAAGTTAATGACGATCGAAAGGCACTTTGTTTTAATAGAAAAAAGAGCAACGGACACAAATATCGTAATTATTTTATTCAGGTAAAAAAAAAACAAGCATTCTGAGAGTATTGCATGGCAATCATACTTTGTAAATCCAATCTTACTTTTCTAGAAGAATGAAAAGAATGAAAAGAAGCTACATGTATATATAAAGTCAATTCTTCCACTTCACGTATTACTATAAAGATAATGTTCTCTCAGAAATCCGTCGTAACGGTACAGTTGAGGACATCACTTTGGAAATTTTATTGAGTTATCTAGATCTGGTAGACCCGGATGGAATATTTGTGTCATTAGTGGCAATTGATTATTAAACATGTCATAGTTACATCCGGTATTCTACCTAGTTTATAACATCACCGTAAAGGAATATAACCAGAGTATTACATGTACTTGCCGTGGTGAACATAATGGGTGCCACAAATCACAAATGTCCCACTCACAGGAGCTTACAGAATTTATATAAGTTTTGTTTCATTGTCTGCACTGGATAATCAATTTTCTGTTTTTATACAACATACGGAACACTACTAAGCTTGCCTTACCTTGTTTTGGATGAATTTATCCACTCTGAAAATATTCCTTAATTTCTTATCCATTCTGTTTTGAAGTTCAAAGTGACACAAATTATGTACCCAAGGGCCTGTGGTGAATTCAATCCGGACAAAATCCTCCTGGTCCCCCCCAAAATACCAATGATTTGCTGCTCGGGACTCAAAGGCTCAGTGCCGACCAAGGACCACAGTCATTCTTGGGAGTAGAAAAATGCCCTTTCTACGTGGCAAGGATTTTCACATTTAAAGATGTAAAATGCAACTTCCATATAAAAATAAAGAGATGTGGTATGATTGCCAATTTACAACTATCCACCAGAGTTCCAATGAAGTGGATGTAAGCAATTAGAGGCAACTGTACGGCCTTCAATAATGAGAAAAGCTCATACCATATAGTCAGCTACAATGTATAAACGGCCCCGACATGAAAAATGTGAAACAATTAAAACAAAAAAAAACAACAGCCTTATTTATAACAAAACAATTTACGAAAAACAAATGTGACAGTTATGAACCAATGGCAACCACTGATTGTATTTGTTTAACGCCCAGTGGCAAATATTTCATGCATATTCGGGAAGAGAACCAATCAGTATGTCATGTATTTAGAAACTACAAAACTGGTTGACCAGGATGAGAGAAGGGAAATTCTGACTGACGCTGGAAATGTTGTTGGATAAGGAAGTAATTTTATCCAAGCAAGATGCCACATATGAACACTTTGAAAAGTATTCATAAGTACATCTTGCATAGTCATAGGAACATGTATCTTGAATATGTTTGATTGGGGCCTAATCTAACTCCTTTGTTTCTTAAGTACATCTATCATATTTTTGTTTTTACAATCTTTCTTTTTACACTTTTTTGTTACAAAACAATCAGAAATCATGAAATATATCTATTTATGGTGTACTTATATAATACCAATGCTTTTCAATTTCAGTTAGTTTCTATTAGCATGATTAGTGCTTTATTGCTTTTAAGAAACTACAAGATATTGTCAAAAACCCCCTCAGTCATGCAAGTGTCTTTTTTTTGTTGTAGATTATCAATTTGAATATGTTTGTGTTTATTTCAGATCTTTAGTAGTATGTCATTAATTTGTCCAAAACTTGAAATTTTGAATTTGCTATATCATGTACATGTAGCTTCATTGTAGATATTAGAGCTAAGTCAGAGACCAATGTTGTTTATCAGTCATCATTTATTATGTGTTGGGTTTATACCCGATATACATGTAGTCTCATGAAGTTAGATTGAACTAGATTTCATATCTTAAATGAATTCCCACTTCAACCTTCAAATGGTGTTGTCACTGATATAAGAATCCTCTATATTTACTATATTTTTATTTGTATAATACACAAAAGATCACAGACATTTTAACATGCATGTAGCAAAGAAGCTTTCTTTTCAAGCATCTCATCTTCAGATAGGAAAGTCCAGTTAAGACCAAGGAACGATGATACTTCCGAGGACAGAAACTCCTTTGTCATACCCCCTCTCTTCATGGAAGCAGGGAATGGTAGGCAAACATTATAATTGAATAACAAATTATTCCCCGTTACACATAGAGATTTAAGACAGTTTCCTTTCATAGCTAAACACCACACAGCTTCTGACGGTAAAGGCACACTTGAAATGAATGTTTGAAGTTTGACACACTGACTGGCAAAGTAATAGTAATCACAAGGCAAACTCTCCATATCTTCATAAGGGTGGAGTGTCACATACTTCATTGAAAAGTGAGCATATGTTTCCAATGTTTGTCCATAGTAAGCTGCAATAGCTCGGAGAATGTCTCTTGACACACTTCCAACCATTCTGTTGAAAACTATTGATTTCACAAACGGGTTTGGCGGAAAATCTTTTACATAAATTCTTGTGTCTTGAAATATGAAATGTACATCAAGTTTTATATTGTCTTGTACAGCAAGGGATTCCCATGCTATTTCTAGGAAATCTCTGCCAACTTTACGATTGTCTTTCACTAGGTACAGTTCCTTCAGATTTTGTTTTCCTAGACATCGCACTATGTCTGTTGTAACTGTACAGAAAGTTGTCTTCAGGGTTCGTAGATTTTTAAAGTGAGTCAATATATTAATTGGAGTAACATAGGAAGAATCCATACTAAAATCCAAACCAGTTATCTGTTCTATAATCCCTATGTCAATGATACGACTAAAAAAGTAACCTTTCATCTCAACTTCATCTGCAGATAATTCATCTAGACGACACATGCTCAAATGATGGAGTTTTTTACAGTTTGATACAAGCTTTCCAAGACAACTGTAATAATATTCTAAAATTGCAGGCGGACAATAAAACAATACAGGAGAATGAAAAATTTGGATGTATTTTAAATTCACTGCATGCTCACCAATTTCATTGAAAATCTGAAGACCTCCACTAGTTTCAAAATCAATGAGACAACTTTGAAAATATTTTCCAAATTCTAAAATTAGATTTTTCTCATCACTGTATGTGGGTATTTCCTCATAATAATTTTCTACTCCCATTCCACCATTATTTTCCAGACCTAAGATATTTTCTCTAAATATAAAGTTTGTCCATGAATTAGATGAATACAGATGCTGTGTCCAGTCTGGAACAACATTTTTACAGAAGGACAACTTTTCCCTCCAGTCTAGATAGGATAAAATTTTACAAGCAACTATGGCTGGAAGTGTTTCTAAACACTCTTTTGTGGTATCCATTTTACTGTCACCATGGCTCACTAAAATGAAAAAATAAATTAATAACAATAAAAAGGAGATATGGTGAAAAACAAATATATAACTATGATAACTGAGACAGCTATTGCAACAAAACAATATATATACAATCAAAACAATATACAATCTTCACTGATAGCCAGACCTCCATATAATATGTTAAAATCTACATGTCCAAAAAATGTACATTGCATGGTCTTAAAATTTGTTTGAATGAATTTCGAACTCTTAGACAAAAGACAAGTGTCTTTACAATCTGTGGTCAACACCAAATTCCTAAAGAATTGGTAAATAGTTTAAGGGATGACAATTATTGACAAGATACCTGCCAAAAGTTTCTGTTACAAAATATAAATATAACAAGCATTCTGAGAGTATTGCATGGCAATACATAGTCCCCTACCGGGTAAAAAAAAAATTCATTATACTGGAACAAAATGCTAACTTGTTCTATAACTTGTCATGGTGTAAACAAAAAGCAAATATCAAGTCAATATCTTCAAGCATGACTAAAAACAGTGTGGAAAACTGAATATATGAGTGAATTTTTTCAAGTCCAAGGACCATAGCTCTGCATAAAATTATCAGACCGAAACAAAAATTTGAACTTGATCTGTAACTTGTCATGATAAAACTATATACCAATTGTCAATCAATATCTTCAAGCATGATGAAAATAAGTGTGGAAATCCTATAACACTCTAACATTAGATATGATTAATAGTTCTCTAAAATTAGATATGATGTAATACAATGTATATATATCTATTTTCAAATTACAATCAATAAAATTGAGAATGGAAATGGGGAATATGTCAAAGAGACAACAACCCGACCAAAGAGCAGACAACAGCCGAAGGCCACCAATGGGTCTTCACCGCAGCGAGAAAATCCCGCACCCGGAGGTGGTCCTCAGTGGGCCCTCAAAATAAAATTGTGTACTAGTTCAGTGAAAATGGACGTCACACTAAATTCCAAAACATATAAATGAACTAAAATTAAAAAACATACAAGACTAACAAAGACCAGAGGCTCCTGACTTGGGACAGGATAAGATAAGATAAGATAATTTTATTGGTTCAAAATCCAAAATTATAGGATTGTTACCAAGACAATAAACATTGACTATACATAAACATACAAACATATCTGACCACATTTATAAACATTATATAATATAAATGTATATCCCCTCACTTATTAAAAGAAAATATTGTTACAATAATAAATGAATGTATATAATCTCTGCTGAGGAGGTGGTACCACAAAGTTATTAAGTACTCAATAAAGCATTTCTAGAATTATACATGATGCTTATGAATTTTACAATAATTTTAATTACATCAGTCTCACCACAGGTATACAAAAATTTAAATCTTGCTTCATTAGTCATATTAAAAAAAGAGGGAACTATTTTACTAATTTTGGAAAATAATTGTTCTCTAATTGTATTTAGTTTTGTACATATTTTAGTGAAATGAAATTCATCTTCTACTTCTAAAAGACACAAGGGACAAATTCTTTCTTCTACAGGTGTTTTAGTATGTCGTCCTTGTTCAATTTTAAGAACACTATTACTTATGCGAATTTTGGCAAAATGTCCTACATGTATTACTTTTCTGTCAATATTTAACAATAAATAGGTTTCCAATTTGTAATTTTCTTTAAGCTGCCTATATGTTCTGAGCTTATTACCGTGCAATGATTTATCATCACAAAAAATATTTTCTTTCCAATAATTCAGATATCTATAATTAAGTTTGGTATGAAGTGCATATAATAAACGCCTTTTTGGTCAAAGACAGGCACAAAAATGGGGCGGGGTTAAACTTGTAATTAATAGTTCCAAATATTTTTTCTTTCATTTGTCACAAACTAATATAGATTTGTAACTTATCTATAAAATGTCAACAACTTTTATCTACACAATGTAATGTAATGATATATACCTTAATAAAAATAGATTATTATCTAATTAAAGGATTTCACTTAATAAAATATATATATATATATATATATATATGTGCAAATCTCTAGACTTATATAATTTTTTTCCTTATCTGCACAGTATCCTCTATTCTAGACGATCCGGTACATAGTAAATTTGCTGGTTGGTCCTTTTTATAGACTTCTATATATATATATATATACATGTAGCATTCAGAAAATTAGTTTATACAAAATAACATATAAACCTGCCACAAAAGTCCTCAAACAATTTACCAAAGAATGTCTTTTAAAAAATGAGATATCTCCCTTTGTACAGATATATGGTTTAACATAGAACTCTAACATTAGTTATGGAGTTTTTTTATGGACCATAACTCTGGACTAAATTATCAGACCGGAACAAAATTCGAACTTGATCTATAACTTGTCATGATAAAACTATAGACAGGTTTATCTATAATTGACCTTGAAAAGGGGGGGGGGGGGGCTCAGAAAACATGGGCCTATCCATTAACCCCTCACATGACTGATCGGCCATTACAACCGTGAAAAATAATGCACATGTATTGATCAAAACATTATCGATTTTCTGTTTACATTTGTATTTCCTTCATTTTCTTATTTATTCCACTATGGATACTGCCGAAAGTTATAAAAAAAAAAGGTGGAGGCATTTCTTGTGCAGTTGATAGTTGTACAAATAATCGTAGAAAATTTCAGATGTTGAAAAAAATCAATAAAAAAATATGTGAATTATACAAGTTGTTCCAACTGCACACAATCCGTTTTTTTTTTAACAAGTAAAATTACACTGGCAGACGAATGTTGACACGCCGTCAAACGACTGTAAAAAACTTAAATTAATCTGATGACTACAGTTCATCTGCCTCTGTTTGTATAGAATATGTACACATCAGATGCGGATCCAGGATTTTGAAAAAAGGGAGGGGAGGGGGTGTCCCCAAACAAGACACACTTTGTAGTGGAAGCGGAAAAAAGTCTGGATTAACCATGAATGAAGCTTCATATAAAGGTGGCCCGGGCACCCCCTAAATCCTTTCCTGTACATTTCTTTAGATAATAACAATGAAACCTACCCCGAGGCTACATACATGCACGAAGTTAGAATTGGATGCAAATCGACCAAGTATGAAGAGACAAACTTTTTTTTATACATGACGACTATCTTTATGCTGCAAAATGAACAGACGTTGCGACAACATTAACTCAGACAAACATATTGTTAACAGAGGAGTAAGGAGTTCAAAATTGAACTAGAGGCTCTCAAGAGCCTGTGTCGCTCACCTGTATTTACTGATGCTTTGGAAATCATGTAAAATAAGGTTAAAAACATAATTAATAGTATTAGATATTAGATATATTATATCGATATCTAAGATAATAACAAAAAACTGCAAAATTTTTGTAAAATTACTAACTCAGGGGCAGCAACCCAACAAAGGGTTGTCGGATTTGTCTGAAAATTTCAGGGCAGATGAACCTAAATCTGATGAACATTTTTGCCACCTCTCAGATTTGCTCTAAATGCTTTAGTTTCAGAGATATAAACCAAAAACTGCATTTTACCCCTATGTTCTATTTTTAACCAAGTTGGCCACAATGGTTAGAAAGCGGGGTCATCGGACAAATTTTTTAAACTAGATACCCTGAAAATGATAATGACCAAGTAGGGTTAAATTTGTCTCAGTAGTTTCAAAGAAGAAGATTTTTGTAAAAGATTACAAAAATTTACGAAAAATTGTTAAAAATTGACTATTAAGGGCAATAACTCCTAAAGGGGTCGACTGACAATTTTGGTCCTGCAACTTATTTGTAGATCTTACTTTGCTGAACATAATTGCTGTTTACAGTTTATCTCTATCTATAATAATATTCAAGATAATAACCAAAAACTGCAAAATTTCCTTAAAATTACCAATTCAGGGGCAGCAACCCAACAACAGGTTGTCAGATTAGTCTGAAAATTTTATGGCAGATAGATCTTGACCTGATAATCAGTTTTACCTTGTCAGATTTTCTCTAAATGCTTTGGTTTCAGAGATATAAGCCAAAATCTACATTTTACCTCTATGTTCTATTTTGAGCCATGGCGGCCATCTTGGTTGGTTGGTGGGGTCATCAGACACATTTTTTAAACTAGATACCCTAATGATGATTGTTGCCAAGTTTGGTTAAATTTGGTCCAGTGGTTTCAGATGAGAAGATTTTTGTAAAAAGCTATTGACGACGGACGACGCCGACGCCGACAAGTGACGAGAAAAGCTCACTTGGCCCTTTGGGCCAGTTGAGCTGATAAAAGGGGGAAACCACATCAGTGTATAGACATAATATGAATGACAGTTACGCCTTATTGTATACTTATGTAACTAAGTTTTCTATTATTTAGTGGAATACAACATAATTAATTTTTAACTGCTGTAATGCAGATCAGCTGTTGCTCGATCGATCTGATGAGGTTAACACTTAGTTCGATATTTGGTTATTTGGGTCTGATGGCGCTTTCATATTTCGAAAAGTAAGGCTTGTAAACTATTTTATTCCTGGGTGCCAGTTCTTGCTGAAAAACATAAAAGTTTTTTCAAACAGCTGCATCCATAGACAAATACCAGCAAAACTTTCTATTCAGGGCACTTCTCTATAAACCTCGTCTTAATGGTCCATATATGAAGGCATGTGTGCTTAAAGTATATATTCACTTTGCTGTCTTTATACAACGTATACAGTATTTTTTGTTGATTCTTGATTTGAACTTTCCTCAGTCGATTATTCTGTGCATGAATTATAAAATTTTACACATTAGTATGGATTTTTTAAAGGTCTTGGTAATCAAATAGTTTACCAGAACCTTCGGAAGCGTAGCCATAATCCGACGATCCGAAATTCCGACATTTCAGTAGTCCGATGGTCCAATATACACCCCTAATGTAATACTGTAATACTGTATTTCGTTGTATTATATACACCGGGGACTGATTTAGGATGACAATATACGAGAACTCTGTTTTGGGCTGGGGGAGGGGAGTTTGCAAAA